CTTCGACCAAGTTTCTCCAGGGCGCGCGCAGCAGCTCAGCTTCCTATCTTCTCCTCCGCAAGCAGGGCATCCTCACTAACCTCAGGGACGCTTTCAAGCACGACTTGGCCAAGACAAAGAACAAGATGGTCCCAGAGTTGCTGACGGGGGCGAGCGGTTCTCAGTTGGAGGCTTTTCCAGCTGAGGTTGAGACCGAGCTCCAGTCACCGGAGCTAGCTGAGGAGGAAGATCCACCACTGGAGGTGGCGGTGCGCGTCCCGACCAGCGAGGAAAAGGAGAGCTTGGGAAAGCTTCACCGCAACTTGGGCCATCCTGGAAACAAGGAGCTATGTCGAGCTCTTCGTGTGGCAGGGGCACCAGAACACCTATGCAGGTATGCCAAAGAACACTTTCGTTGCCCCACGTGCGCAGCAAACCGTGCTCCGAAGAGCGTGCGGCCATCAATGATCCCAAGGGCTTATGCGCCAAATACCGTTGTTGGCGTGGACCTTCTGCAGCTCAGCAACTGGAACTCGACGGAGCAGTTCTGGATGTTGAATATGCTGTGTCTGGGGACTTCGTTTCAAATGGTGGAGCGCGTCAGGTCCAAGGAGCCGGAGGAAGTTTGGGCAGCCTTTGCCCGAACGTGGGGGCGCTTTTTGGGGTGGCCTCAGGTGCTACTACTGGACCAGGGAACGGAATTCTTGTCTGAGTTCCGCAGCCGTGCCTCGAGCTTGGGCATAGTGCTCCACACGATAGGAGCCAGGGCACCCCATCAAAACGGCCGGACTGAAAGGCACGGCGGGTTGTTTAAGGCACTTTTTGAACGTGCCCGTTGGGAAAATCCTCCCACAAGCCACGAAGACTGGCGACTTCTTCTTCGTGAGACCGAGAGTGCCAAGAACCGCCTGTTCAACCGATCTGGTTATTCACCAGCTCAGCGCATGATCGGCCAGACCCGTCGCACCGTGGGCGAAATTTTCAGTGACGATGCTCTTGATCCTGCTTTCCTGGAGCCCACGGAGGACGTGCAGCGGCTGCTCTCCATTAGGCAGTCAGCTCAAAAGGCGTTCGTTGAGCTGAATACGTCCGAGGCCTTGAAGACGGCACTGAGGGCGAGAAGCCGAGTTCAGCGGCAGTTTCTTCCCGGGGAAATCGTCTTTGTTTGGCGCTCTTGGAAAGTGCGGGGCGTTGTGAAACCTTCCTGGGTGGGTCCCGGCGTTGTTCTTTTACCAGAAGGTGCGAATAGCTACGTCAATGTTCGCGGCCGCCTCTGGAAGGTGTGCAACGAACACCTTCGCCCAGGCACTTCCGAAGAGATCGGGCGTGGAGGCGATCCACGAGGTGTTCAAGGACATGAAGGACCGCTTCGACCGTGCCTCCCTCAAGCTTGTCGAGGACCACACCCGTGATCCCCTTCCAGACGGCCGGGTTCGAAGTGAAGACGTTCGTCAAGGGCAGCCTGAAGTTGACCAAGAAGGGCTGGAACGAGGCGCGCCAAGGCCTAGGACCGAGGAGCCTGAGACTCCTGTTCCAGTGCCTCCTCTGGAGGTAGAGCCGGCCGAGGCGCCGGAAGCTCCAGGAGAACCAGAGACACCGGTTCCCCCACAGGCCGAAGACGTGCCAGTCAGTTCCGACAGCCGGGCAAGCGAGCAATCGGAGCCAGAGTTGGAAGCTACGCCAGCTCCCTCGGAGCTGCCTTCAAGGAGGGTCAGTGAGACCCAGCTTCGGGCCCAGCAGGTGCAGTCTGGAGTGGATTCAGTGCGCGAGAACGAAAGGCGCGACGGCACAGCAAGCAGTGCCCTTCGCCCTCCAGTGCTTCTTCCTGGGCGTCCATCACACTCCACGTATGGACCCGTTCGT